TACGACAAATCAAAGTGTTAATCCATTTGTTACTTGATGTTTGACGGTTCAGTGTCACTCATCATGTTTTGGTTTTAACATACATACATACATACATACATACATACATACATACATACATACATACATACATACATACATACATACATACATACATACATACATACATACATACATACATACATACATACATACATACATACATACATACATACATACATACATACATACATACATACATACATACATACATACATACATACATACCATACATACATACATACATACATACATACATACATACATACATACATACATACATACATACATACATACGTACGTACGTACGTACGTACGTACGTACATACATACATACATACATACATACATACATACATACATACATACATACATTACATACATACATACATACATACATACATACATACATACATACATACATACATGCATGCATACATACATGCATGCATACATGCATACATACATACATACATGCATGCATGCATACATACATGCATGCATACATACATACATAGAGATTTTCATTCACAAAAATCTCTAACATACACTGTTAGAGATTTTTGTGAATGAACTGAAGAGAATTGCAGACATAATAGCTCCAGAACACGTGGTTGAAAGTCGAGATGATTCGTTGACGCTGTGGTTTGATGGAGATTGTTCAAAGTCCAAGGCATACTGTAGAAAAATGGAAAGAAAGTACAGAAAGACTTTAAATCATGACGATAGGGAGGTGTGGAAAAATGCTCTGCGATCAATAAATATTTTATTCGCCCAGAACAAAAAGTTGTTTTTGAAAAAAATCATTTTTGAAAATAACAGAAATCCTAAAAAAATTTGGACTGTGGTAAATAAACTGTTGTGCAAGGAAAATACTTCAAATTCATCTACCAAATTTGAAGCAAACGATTTTGCTACATTCTTTTATGACAAAATTAAAAATGTACGAGAATCGATGGTGTATGATGAGAAGAAGTTTAATCATTCATCTGATGTCTGCTGCAGCAACTTGTTTTCAGTTTTTCCTGTTTATGATGAAAGCGAAATTGTTGAAACAGTTTTGAACTCTCCGTCTAAAACATGTTCACTGAATTGTGTTCTTTCACACTTTTTCAAAAAATATGAAGGATTGTTTTCAAAATATTTGATTGATTTTATAAACTTATGTTTACGTACTGGTAAGTTTCCGGCTATGTTAAAGCATGCTACAATTTTTCCTCTTTTGAAAAAGGAAAAATTAGATAATTCTGACCTTAATAATTATAGACCGGTTTCAAATCTGTCGTTCTTGTCAAAATTAATTGAAAGATTAGTTTCTAAGGAGCTTATGAAACACTTAGATAAAAACAATTCGTTACCGGTATATCAATCAGGTTATAGAAAACATTATTCTACCGAAACTGCTTTGTTGCATTTGTTATCTAAGTTGCATGAAAATATAAACGACAGCAATCCATCTCTTCTTGAATTCTTAGATATGAGTTTGGCATTTGACTGTGCCGACCATTGCATTCTTCTGAAACGTCTTAACCATAGATTTGGAATAACTGGTTCTGTCGAACAATGGTTTCGGTCCTACTTAACAGACAGAACTCAGCAGGTAATCTACAAGAATAAGACCTCTTAGGTTCAAACGATAAGATTTGGTCTTTCCCAAACAAATTTGTGAAAATCTTACCCTCGTTTGTTCTAAAGTTAAAATATATCACCTTACAAACCAAAACAGATGAAGATTATACAAAATAATAAAAATATATAATTGAAATCATTTAGAAAAGACTGCAACAGATAATAACCAAAATTGTCGGCTGCCTTTGAATATTTTTTATTCTATGAAATTGAAAAAAGATACTTAAGCTTGAATACTGTTTTATATATTACTATAAAAGACACGAATAAATTTAAATAAAAATGATTAAATGAAATTTAAATTAAATTTATAAAAAAACTCGTTTTCAATAAGCTGAGAAGATACTTCAACTTCAATGTGAGACGAATGATGGAGAGTTGGACACTACAGAAAGGTTTCCCAGTAATTATCTTCGTCAGAAATGGACGCTCTCTTACGTGCTCCCAGGAACCTTTCGTGCTGACTAAAATATCCGGTTTGAGGAATTTCTAAGGAGGGTATTTAACAAGATCCAATTTTGTAAATATGCTTCCGTAGACTAAACGAGGTATATTTTTCACTGTTGTTAACATACTACTGACACGATGTGATAAGATACAACATCATTTTTATTCGCTTGCCAACAAAATAAATACAAATAAAACATAACAGTACCACTTGGTGCATTCCTGTAACAGCTGTAGCCTGTAAACATCCAAACACTTTCTACACTATTTTTTTTTAAATAAAAGGAGCGGTTAGTGTTGATTGGAAAGCTAAAATTGTGAAATTTTAATTGAAATTTAATTATACAATTTTTCTCTCACTAATAAACTTTTTAGTGATACATAAGTTTTTAAAAGTTTTTAAAAAGTAGGACCCTTTTTATGGATAGGATTAACAATTGCAGTTTTCCAATTAGTAGGCAATAGATTGCTTTTAAATGATAAATCGAAAATGTGACAAAGTGGAACTGCCAGAGTTGATGCCACACATCTTGAGTATAATTTTCGGTATTATCTTAAACCCTGGCGGCATTTGCCATTGTGCTCCAAAGTTTCTTTTGCGTACGTCAATAAAATGAACAGAAATCATGATAAATGAGCTTTAAGTGTAAATGATTGTTTTGAAAATAAATATTTGACAAGAAATTTCCACATAATAAATTCTATGATGAAACTATTTAAAAATTGAAGCTATAATTTCTGATAACTATAGTAACAGTAATAAATACGGTTTTTACTAGGATGAAAAATATTCTAGTAGTTAAAAATAAACATCCATGCAGACGAACATTACAGTTAAAAATTTAAATTTAAACGTCGAAATTTCGTCACAAAAATTTAATTTTTGAAAAAAATTGCAAAATGAAAAAGATAGATGCATTTTGTATGAATCCGTTTAAAATCTTGATTTATGAAACAATAATCTTGATTTATGAAACAATAATCTTGTTTTATGAAACAATAATCTTATTAAAAAACTGATAATGTTTACAACCATAAGCGTCATCCTTTTTTGAATGTTGGAGGCAAAATCCTCAATTTGATCCAGAATAATTTATATAAAAAAATTTAAACCTGATAACGTTATTGGTAACAAATAGTCTTAATTTTATTGGTAGCCACAATAATTGAATTATTTTCAATTATTATTTGTTCAGAATATAAACCCTTAAATTAAAACGGAGGCCATTGCCCCATTTTCATCATTTTCTGTAAACTGCTATTTTTTACAAATTATTAATTGCTTTAAAAAAGTCAGGACATGTTTTTATTAAGTAAATAAAGATTGGCTAAAAAAATTTCTGTTAAACTAGCATGTTCAATCATGCACGTTTGAATCAATTGAAAAAATTAAACGCTTGTTTGAAATGAAATGAGCCAATACTTGAAGTTTGTTTCAACGGGTCATTACTCAAAATTGAGTCGTTGACTTGTGAGTTTGTTGCTACTTATTACTGAAAGAATTTCACTGAATTTTAATATTTTCATTTTAATTGAATAACAAACTGATTTGAAAACTGGAATCGTTAACTTACTTCGTTGTCAAGTTGGTGAAGATTTAAATGTCATAAAGAGTTATAGCAGAAATTAATTAATTTACATGAGTGAACACTAAATTTTTTTATGTGGAAAAATTTTGGAAACGATCATCTTTAATGAATATCGACAATTCAAAGAGTATGACGCTACTACTTGCCGCAGTTAGAAGTATTTGGGTAATCCTCCTGCAGCTTAGGCTGTCAGATGCAAGCGATGTTAACACAAGAAACCTGTATCAAAGCAACAACGAAAAAAACATTTTTCATTATCAAACCGATTCCTATTTTTCTAATTTTAGTAGACTTCCGAAAAACTTGGTGCCTCGTTTTTATGAAGTCCTCATACGTCCTGATTTGGTTAAATTCAATTTTAGCGGACTTCCGAAAAACTTGGTGCCTCGTTTTTATGAAGTCCTCATACGTCCTGATTTGGTCAAATTCAATTTTAGCGGTTGGTCATGTGTTGAGGTGTAGGTAAGGGGGCGCCCTATCGATTTTATTGCCATGCACGTGAAAGACCTTGACATCGCTGACATCAATATTCGATATAAGGATCTGCCTGGTTTGTTGAAATATTGTTATATTAATTTTTATAATTTTTACCATTCAATAATAATTGCTCAAACTAAAAATAGATGAACATCCTAAATATCACCATAACAGATAAGTTAGAGTACAAAAGATATCGGTTTTATAACAACTACGAGGTACTTTACATCGAAATGAAAACTGTCTTTCAGAGGGATGCTGCTTTTTGGTCAACATGACATTCCATGGTGTTTTGGGACGCAAGGAGAATGGACTTTTTTTGAGTTCCTACACAACTGATAGAGGCGTCGTAAAGTTGGTTTTGTGGCTAGATAAATGTAGCAATATATAAGCATTGGAAATGATTAAAAAATGAACCATCGCAATAAGCAGCACAAACAGTGTTACTATTAATTTGAAATGTATCAACTGTTCGAATGCCCACAAATTTTATCTACGTCAAAATTTTTGAAAAACTGCTTGCTGAAACAAAAAAATTAATATATGAATTAAACATTGCTAAATTTTTCAATATTGGTCAAAATTTTACCACAAAAGTGAACATATTTTAAGTTGTAGTTATATAAAACGAATGAACTGATTGGAACTTTTCATGCTATAGGATATAAATTTTTAATTTTTTTTACGTTATAGGTGACGTTTTTCATTTTCATTAGATATATTGCCGCCACACAGTTCAAGCCCACATTCGCAAGGAGAGTCTTTCCCTGCTTCGACGAGCCAGACATGAAGGCACGTTTCAAATTCTCCATCGTCAGACCGAATGATTACATTTCACTGTTTAACACAGAGAAGGTAGATCGATCTAACAAATAATGTGCTATTGCTGGTTTTGAACGGAAATATTATTTATCGTATATTTAGTTCAATAAGTTTATTTGTAGCAACTAAATTGAACAAAACTCACTGTTATTAATTTCGAAACGGCCTCACATAGTAGCATCATGTTTTAAATTACCCAATTCTTACCGACTAATTTAATTTTTACCTCGAAGTTAAAATCATGTGAAAACCAATAAAAAAAACAATGAACTAAAAATATACAACGCATTTAAAACAATGCTTTTCTTCAGGAAAACTTCTATGAAAATTACGATTTTAAAATTGTTAAGATAATTTTTAATGAATTTTGGACGAATATAATTAGTCTTTTTAAGAACTGTAAGATACCAAGATATAATTGAACCCATTTTATACAACTAAAATAACTTAAGTACCTTTTAATAAAATTTTAAAACCAAAATGATAGATGGCAGAACACAAGATGTCACAGAATGAAACGATGGACGTGTATGACACATCACGTGTAATGAGCACACACTCACTGGCCTTCGTCTTTTGCAACTACGCCTCGACGTCTCGCATCAGCAAAAGTGGAGTCATGGTATACCGTGTGATGAACATTAGATAATGGATTGACTTGAATGTTCAAAATATTTTAATCAGCGGAGTAAGAAGATTGCAATCAAAATTTATGGCTAAAGTTTAGGAGTGTGCGATGTTTACCTATTCTACTAATAAATGCCTGTAATAATTTATTATGAATTCATGAATACAAACAATTATTATGCAAAAAATGGTTCTCACTGAAAGTTAACAACGCCAAATTTAAACGAAATAAACTGCACATTCATTACTTTTTCAAATAATTTTTGCGCTTAGTCAATATGAATGATAGTTAATTCAAATTTGAAACATTCGGTGGTAACGCATAGTTCGTTCGGTGTAGTGAAGTTTTTTGATAAATATCGACTTACAACTAACAAATAGGAATTATAAATGCAAGGCATTGTTGTAAATTGACTTAAGTACAACATAGGAGTACGAAAGAGATACGACGGCTAAAATTCTACAATGTTTTTTTGTGATGCTTCCTACAACACGCAACATAATGCTATGATGCTTGCACATTTCATCTGCAGAAAAAAATATTGTTAACTTTTTATAAATTAGTAATAAGAAATCGAACTGAAAAATATGACATGCTTGTTTTAAACTTATTTTCCAAATTTGACCACCGTTAAAAAATCCGAGTTGAAGTTTTAATATTTAAAACAGTTAGGGTAAATGTATGAGCTAATTGCAACTATTAGTCCTAGACTTAATTAGCATTATCTGAAACTGGTGCTAGATAGCAAAAAAACAGTTCACCGTGTTCCTTTTCAATTTGACACCAATTTAGGTTTCGGTGTACTCTCCTCCAGAAAAACTTCCCGATGTGCAATTCTCAATCCTCACGGTCACTAAAACTCTCAACTTCTTTGAAAATTACTTCGGATTCTTTTATAATCACACGAAACTAGGTTAACAACATTTTCAGGAAACTAATTTCATAAATAAATCTTTATTTTATAAATTTTTTTACAAATAACTTTGTTAAAATCTAATAAGCAGCATTAAAACGTTATTAATTTTTTAAATATTAAATTTGTATTACAAAAATAGGAGAAAATTGTCATTAAAGTAATAACCTTGGAATAACATATTGCAATTAGTATTGTAGCAAAATATTCTTGTTTATGGGTTCGCTGCACTTTTTTCCCAAGCAAAACTCACCTAACACTCCTCCCAGATGTGGTGGTCGTCCCAACAGTAGACGACAACATGATGGCTTATTGGGGAATCATGTTCTTTGATGCTAGGCACTTATATTACGCTGAAAATAATAACACGAAGGAAGACAAAACTATTGTAGTGGAAAAAATAGCACTTGGACTGGCTTATCAGGTTATTAGTTTATTGAAAAATAAATGGTATGATTGCTAACGTGGTGTAATTGAATTTTGGAACAATGGAAGCTTAAATGCAAAAATTATTAAAAAAAATTTGCTTATGATTTAAAAGGTTAACAATTATTTAAGTATTTTTTAAACATTTAATTAATTTTGAAAATTTTGTTAAAAGTTGTTGAAAAAATTTTTTTAGTGGTTTGGTAATTTGGTGACAACGAAATGGTGGGATGAGTTGTGGCTGAATGAAGGGTTGGCTATATTCTTGCAACAAGAGATCATCAAACAATTTTATCCAGAACTATCTTCTGTTAGTTAACAACAAATGAATTTAAAATCTATGAATAACTTTTGTAGTAATTAGAAAATTCATTATTTAACTCTTGAAACATCTTTTATTTTATTTAATAATGTTTTTTTTACGTCTTACCTTATCTCGGGGGGAACTGGGTCTCAGGACGTCAATCGAAGATTGATTGATTGATTTACTGATGTTTTTAAAAATATTAATGATGTTAAATAAATGTTGATGTGAGCCTTTGCAATCACCCAATTTATAAACGAAGACACTGGCATTTGAAACCAAGCATTCTGTGGCATTTAAATCTATGCGTTCGTTGATGGATCTAGACAACATCAGCGGTAGGGAGGCTAAATTTTGAAAACTTTGACCTGGAAATTTTTGACGAGTGAACCAACATTTTGTTGTTGACGAGTAGACGACCAACCTTTTTTTTCTTATCAACTCGCTTTTTTGTAAAAAAATACCCGGCATTTTTCCGTTAAATCAATGAGTTTTGTTGACTTTTTAGCTCAAATTTAATACTACACCTTACATCAACCACTGCAAACATTACACATATTGAATGCGAAAAACATTGATTTTTTACATTCAGAGTCAGTCATTGAAATAGCCAAACTTGGTGCTTCAACTTTCAAACCATCTTGCTGCACAATAATTTTGAATCAAAATGAAAAACAACAATTAATGAAGTAATTAAAACATGAATTTTCAGGCGACAGATCTCATGCTGGGAAGTATGGAAAACGCAATTAAAGCATATTCGCTAGAAGGCACGCAACCTATAACGCAGGCCAAGCAGGACGACGATGTTTCAAATGTGAAAAACGTTTTCACAACATTTTCATTGACCAAAGTTTGTAGCATAAAATTTGTTTTTAATGAGATTTCATAATTATTTGTGTTGAACTTGTCTTGACATTGAAAATAGTTGGTGTTCTTAAAAAGTTAGACTAGATCTACCTTATCTGGGGATATTAGTTGATAATAAATACATCTATTATTTGTTTTGAGAAATAATGTTTACTATTTTTTCATTATATAAAAAGAAGTGTTATACTGAACAAAGTTGAAAATTGTAAAACCAACTGAAGTTGACTACCACTGAATATGATGTGATTTTCACCAATAATTGTATTTCAGATAGTCTTAAACCAATTTTTATTATTTATGTTTATTTTTAAATGTTACCATTATAATATCATCTTTTTGTTTTGTTTAACAATAATATGTTACATACCAATAATTGAAATATATCAAAAGAATTTTTTTTTTATTTAAACACGATTTTCTTTTCAACAAGCAACCACCCTGCCAATGTAATCAATCAATGTTACTGTTAAAAAATAATAATCATCTAAAATAATATTTTCCATTGTTATTTTTAGGGATTTTCAATTATTAACATGCTGGAAACAACACTTGGACTAAATAATATCCTGAAAGCTTTGATGAAACTTTTTCAAGAATATCAATTCAAAAGTTACACTCAGAATGAGCTTTGGGAAATTTTCACACAAGAGGTTTTATTGATTGTTTCCCGAGTATTTGAATTTGTAACCTGTCATTGTATTCTATGCACAAAATTATGTTGAACTATAATTTCTGATGTTCAACCATATAATCAATATTAAATATACTAAGTGCACGCACTGAATTTTTTCACAGCTGTCTCCCAAAAAACACAAATAATCAAGAAAACAAATAATGTAGCCCAATTTGACAATAACAATATATTTTTGGCCAAATTATGTTTAGTGTTTATTAATGAGAACGAAAATAAAATAGTTAAAATGAAAAAATTATAAATAAGACAACTCTAAAGTGTGGTTAACATATTATAATTTATTTTCAAAATAGAAACGCATTAAAAAAATTCAATTTATTAGGGTTGTTTCGTAACAAAATGTTTAGTGGCCCAAGGAGATATGGTCTGTAGGTAGTTGCAGGACCACTCAGGGTTTTTAGTATATCATTTTCGCCAGTTGATTTTCAAAATATATTCTATCCATTGACCAAACTATCACCATTAAATATGTTTGGCTGCTTTTTATGTAAGTTTCTTAACGAGTCCTAATGTTAACAAATTTTACAGGCTTCTTTTTTAATGAATGGTCCTGTAAACTGGAAGTCAGTTTTTCAAGTTTTAGCTTTTAAAGTTACCAATTTTTCGATCCTTACTCACCTGTTTGTCCTTTCCATAATTTTGGATAGGTGAAAATATTTGGATAAAGCTTTCATTAATAAAGTTTACTGTACCCCTCTAAGCAGATAAGAAAAAATATGCTATTTGAACAAAGAGCATATTATGTTTGGTTATGCTGAATTGAAATAAGCTTTTGTCAAAAATTATGAAAAATTTTACAATCTTCTGATGACTTATTACATCACACGCTGCAGAACAGACTGAAAAATTTAAAAAATAAATAATCGACATCGTTAAAATAATTGCCTGTGGAATAATTCTGTAAGATTACATATTTTAAATAGTCGAAATGACAAGTCCTATATTTACATATAAATGCAGTGTATTTGATAATTATACTGAAATCACGATAATACCTGCATTTAGTCGGACAATCATTTCGATGTGAAAGGAGTGGTGGAAAGTTGGATTTTACAAGCAGGGCTTCCGGTAGTTACAATTACAAAGAATGGGCGAAATTTAATCTGCAAGCAAGAAAGGTACCTGGTCACTTCAAATGTGGGCTTGGGGGATTACAAGTTGAATACATCAAAACTGAGGTTGTTGGCGACGTGTTTTTAGTAAAAATTTAAAATTAAAAAAAATTACCAGAAACGTTTAAGTGGTGTAATTTTTCTTACAGCTCCACTTGGTTCATTCCGCTTACATTTGTAACTAGCAAAGATCCGCACCATTTTTTTGTAGTTTTGATGGACAGTAAGAAATGTAAGTAATGTTTGATAAAATACTTTAAACTATGATATTGGTAGCGTATTTTGCATGAATATTTTTTATAACTATGCAACGACTCTAATGATTGGATTTAAATTCTAGAAACGTATAAAATTTTCGTACATTGGATTTTTTCGGTTCACCTATATCGTAAACATTCCTTGCTGCATTTTTCCCACTTATTCAGTGCAAATGACCCTTCCTAGTGAAATCGATTGGTTGAAAGCAAATTCGGACATGAGAGGTGATTGGTTGTGTTGAAAGTTGTTGAATGTGTGTGAGAATGTTTGCTGGAGAAATCTGAGATAATTTTTTGAAGAAAATGTTCATATTTGTGATTATATTCAAAATATACGGATATAAACTATTGAATACACAGTTTTGATCACCTGCAGTTGTTTATGGGTGCAAAAATAATTTTACTTAAGTTTTTTAATAAAATTAAACATTCTTTATTTTGGATTAATTTCAAGAAGCTTTTCAAATTTTTATAATTTCAAAAATACTATCAGCGAATCTAAAATTCAAAAAGTTACGAATCAAACTTACCCTGTATTTTTACTGTCATTGTCGGATAGGATTTTACAGAGCGAATTATGATGCAAACAGCTGGTCGAATATCACCAAGCAACTCAGAAGCGATTATACAGTTTAGTAGTTTAACCTTGAATAATAACTAACACAAATTACGACGAAAAATTTTACAAATCTTCATTATAATAACTTAAGTTATACGTTTTTCTCAAGGCTTACATTTATATTATTAAAAATTAAAGCTATTTTATTTTTCTCACAAATCACCACAAAACAAAAATTAAAAAAATCTCTAAAGGTCTTCCCTCTCATCGACAGGACAAATCTGGTGAACGATGTTTTCGCTTTAGTAAAGTTTGTTTTGTATTTTTTGACTGTTTTAAGCTGAATAAGACGTTTCTCATTATATTATTACATTGACTTTTATTTTGCAATAATTAAAAAATATATAAATTAAGTAGTAAACCACTTCAGCACAATCTTTTTCAATTAAAACAGGCATGCATTTTCTTATTTAGAAACTAGCTCCAATTAACTCCATCTACCCCACATGTAGCTCTGGCCATGTACCTTTGGAAACCGCTCTTAATTTATTATTGTACATCGAGAGAGAAGAAGATTACTATCCTTGGTTTACGATGTACGAAAAAACAAGCTCCATAATTAAAAATTTCTCGTCTAATTCATACTACAGAGAATTCACCGTAAGATTATTTGTAGTGTGGACGATAAAGCTTGAATTGCAAAATGTTAATTTACAATTTGTATAAGGATGTTATAGACAAAGTTATGATGCCCTACTTAAACAAACTTGGCTGGGATGACAGCGGAGATTCCAAAACGAGGTAAGTTCCATGTTTCAATAATGGTCTCAGCAGAGGCGTCATTTGGTGGGAGGCAGGGCCCCCCAAGAAAAATTATAAAATATTAAAATTATAAATTATAAAAGTGTTAATTATAAATTCTTTGTAAAAAGGATATATATAGGATATATAATTTAGTAATTTTAAAACTTTAAAAGTTTTGAAATTTTAAAAACTTTAAAAATGTAAATTTATTATAATGTTGCACTGACGAGACTAGGTAGTCGAAATAGTACTATATGCATACATGTAGATAATGACATCTTCTGTAAATAGGAATTTTGTTAATAGCATTAACAAGTTAAGCTTGGTAGATCGGAGAATTATTCGAAGAATCGAGAAACTATCATATAGATTGAGTACTGTAAGAAACGCCGTGATCTTTATTAATAATATATATTTATATATATATATATATATATGGAGAATATATATATATATATATATAAATCTGAAATGACGCCCCTGGGTCTCAGTTGACATGTATCAAAAAATTTTAGAAATGAAAAATAAACATGTAAAAATAGTTTTATTTATAGAAGATTACAAAATATTTTTATAAATTTAGTGGTGGTATAATATTGATAGAGAACCTTACCTTTGGCATGTTATCATATCATCATTAACGTTTCAGTACTGTTGATATCTTATAATAAATGATATCATTTTATAATTTATATCATTTTTATAATTTATATCATTTTATAATTTGTATCCTCTCACCACTATCAGGGAGATAAGGATACTTCTAACATCGTTAGCTGCCGAAATGGGTTTCAAGGAACAGATTGGTTGGATGATGACAGCTTATTGGAAGATTTTCGGTAGTTCAAAGAAGTCAGTTATTTTATATTAATTTAAAAATTGAAAACATTAAAAAACATATTTATTAAAAATTATTATTTAAACATAAATTTTCATATCAACCCAACAAAACAAATTGGTTTGCTTTTTGACAAAATAATTCGCATCGACTGTTAATATTAATTATAATCAGTTTTTAACTCAACTGTTTACTGCTTCACTAAACAGAGCACATCCATTGTTAGAGAAGCACGTGTATAAGTACGCAGTGAGATACGGAGGGCAGGAAGTGTGGAACCATGTCATGAGCATTTTCACATCAACAAACGCTTCCACCTCTGAATCGGAACTCTTTTTGAAAGCCCTGACATACAGCACCAATCATTCGAATATAAACAGGTATCAATATCTTTACTTTCACTAACACTCTTAATGTTTTTTGTGGGCAGCTGTTATTTCAAGTTACAACGGTTTTGATGAAAACTTATCTTAGAGGTATATAAACAGTGCAGGAGGCAATTAAGTTTTGGCATCATATAAACTGATAGTTATCACTTACAGTGCTGTATAAAACAATATTTGTTAGATGATCAAATTGCAACAGCCATAATAGTACATAGTTAATTTTCTATTTCTTCTTCTCCAATAATTATTGAATATTCCAAACAAATTTGCTAAATTTCGCTTCAAAATCTCAAACACTTTAATTATAAATTTATAACATTGTTTTTCTGTATGACCAGATTGTTGGAACGGTCTCTGAACGACGACTTCATGCAGGTCACACAGTTCCTCGTGTTATTAAAGCTCATTGGTGAGGAGCCATCCACCAACAAACTTGGGTGGTTATTTGTGAAGACGAAATGGAAAGAAATAGTTAAAAAGTAAGAAATATTTTTCAATTTTCAGGTATTAATTTTATTTTTTTTCAATAGTTTTTTTGATACAAATAATTAAACATACACTGTTTAAACAATAAATATTGTGAGAAGCTGGTCAAATGATTGAAAACAACGATTATAAAAAGCATAGCTTCGACTTCATTTCACTTACTATAAATTTGTATAACTTTTTATATGCAAGGTTAAATAGGAATCAATCTTTACTAAAAATATGCTTGACGAAGGTTTCATCAACCTTTTCAACCAAACCTCTCCACGATGAAGTGAGTTACATGGTCACAATTTTTAATTAACAGATATATAAAAAATGATGTACATCATTGATTCTGTTTTTTTTAAATTGTAAGCCTTACATTTGTAAACATCTTAAAAACAATTCCTATGTAAAACACTTATATATCAGGTTTAATGTTTATTTGATGATACAAATCTATTACGTACAACCAGTGTTGTGCTTGTTACTCATTGAAAGTAATTTGTTATTTTTACTTGTTACTTTGGGAAAAAGTAATTTGTTACTTTTACTTGTTATATTCATAGTAAAGTAATCTGTTACTGTTACTATAAAAAGTAACAAAGTTACTTTTTTGTTACTACAGTACAGCATACATGTAAACAGACGCTGCAAGTACTCTTTCATATATTCTCAATATCAACATTAATAGGCGCGCACATGAATATACATATACAATACATAGAAAGATAGTCAATAAGATACATGTAATTGGTAGCACCTAAATTTACAATGTACATAAATCACTTATTTGGCAGAAAATAATTTATTTGCCCGCAAAAGCAGATGACGCTCAAAATGCTCATCAGTCATCCGATTCCTTCTAGGAACCAGTATCTGACCACCTAAACTGAAAAGTCTCTCAACCGGTGCACTTGAAGGTAATGGTGTATTGAATTTCTTGAACAACTTCAAAATACCCGGGTATTTTTGCAGGCATGCAATTTCACGAGAATTATCACTTAAATACAAGTCAAGTTCTGCAGCAGCATCAACGTTGTCACGTGGTTCATTTGCAAACGAAAAAAATTCATCATCTGACACAGTACCTGACTCATGCTTGTCATCAGTATCAGGCTCAGTGACCTGCTGCTGCTGTTTAGCATCTTGCAACTCGTCATACAGTAAACTACGAGCAATCTTTTTCCTGTCGTTATTGTCAATCCATCTCATACGAAACTGAGGCAATGTGACACTAGCTATGATCAAATCATGACGTTCATCATAACCTTGAAATCGCTTATCAAGGCCGGATAAAACAGCAGTAAGCAAAGGCGCTGCCAACTTCAAAGTTGGTTTTACTGTTAGTAACTTTGTACGCCTTGACATTAACGTTGGCAACAAAAACCCAATAAAACACTTCGTTTCTGCTTGGAGTATGTCCAATGCAGCTGCCAGTGGTTGCATAACACAACAATACTCTTTCAAGAAAAGGATGTCATTGAGACGAAATTTTGGGACCTCAAGAGCTACAAAAACTTCAGCAATATTGTTCTCAGATTGTTTTTCAAGGACCTGTCTCACTTTGTCAACTGCACTAAAGTACGAGTTCCAGCGTGTAGCATTAGGCACAAAGAAGGAAGTGTGAAACTTATCACGCACAATATCTGCAAATTGTGTGCTACGTGAAGTCTTGTTCCACAATGCAGAACACTTGACCATTGTTGACCGAGAGAGTTTTTTGTAAACAGCATCACTATTTGCACTTTCTATATCATGACTAGCAATCAAATTCAATGTGTGAGCAGCACAACGCTGATGAGGGGGTAAATATAAGTCACTGTCCTCATCATGCTCTGGTTCACTTAGCAATGCATCAACATCAACAAAAGCAACATTGTTATCATCATCATCACTAACTACACTACCATCATTTGCAAACTCTTTAAATGCTTTAACAAAGTTCGAATCATTGTCAGTTACTGTCATCAGTACTTGTGGTTAATACGATACGCCGTATGTACAGCATTAAACCTAACAGCAATGCAATCATACGTGTGACGCCCTTTCATGCGCTCAAAGCACAAAGCCGCTAAACGTCTTTCCAGAGTATCAGGATCAATCCAGTGCGCTGTGATGCCTAGAAAGCTCCTGTTGTTAGATGACCAGATATCCGCTGTTGTGCACACATGATCGACTTTGCTGAGTGCTGCACAGATGCTTTCCTTCATCGTGTCCGCGAGTTTGTCCAACTTATCTGTAAACAGAAAGACGCGTGTTGCAAATTTAGTAGGGTCTTAAGGATTGTATTTACTTTTATTTGACATCGTTCAAAATAAGCAATTAATGTGACGAACCACAAAAAATCATATTATATTATAGAGATTGAACTAACCATTAAGAGTTTTTCTCGACAAAACTTTCTTTGTTGGCTGGAGACCTTGAACAAGCTCGATGAAGGGTTGAGATTCGACGATGCTCATTGGCTCCATATACTCGACAATGAAGTTTGTCACCAGCTGATCGACCTTCGCCTGCGAAATTACAGAATTACCAAGTGGGGTGCATGTTGTCACAGTTGCTTGTATGCAGGCTTTCTTTGCAGGCATGTCGGACACTTCACTAGTAGCCTTCCTCTTCCGGCATTCCTTTACTTTCTCCAAGACGTTTGGATGCTTCTTCTGTACAAGTTCACACATCATTCAATTTTAAATATTATTTCGCTAATATTTAAAAAAATAGACAAACACAAGCTAATGTCCATTCAGTTATGTATGTTGTTCAATTCAGTTGTAAATGACAGCATTTGCTAATTCATCGGATGACTGCGGAATAAAAATTGGGTGTTGTAGATAATTCATTGCATCCCATTCAGGCATTATTTCGTTCCGAAAAAACCGATAATTTATCAAAAAACAAATTTTCGTTAACATTAAAAAAAACCTTACCTCCACGTGTTTTAAAAGATTTGCTGGGCTGATCTTCGATGTGCTAAGAATCGTTCGTTTTGGTAAGCACCGCTTGCACTGTACTCTCAGCTACTTGGCCTACTTCATTATCAGTTGAATCCAATTCCTTCTCGTCTTTCATTATGCCAACTAAATCCGCGCAACTTACTAAATCACAAACCATGTGAAATGCTGAGACTGAGAGTAAACATAAAAAAGAAAAGAAAGTGCATACAAGCATAGAATTTTAAATTGGCAAGTCATGGAAATGGTTCGTCTAATGAACGACTGAGCCGCAACAGGACAACCAATGATGGTTATAAATCACGCACTGCTGAAAAAAGTAACAAAGAACAAAAGTGCATAATATTTGTTACTGTTACTGCAAAAAAATAATTTGTTACTGTTACTTGCTACCCTGCACAAAAAGTAATCTGTTACAATTACTTGTTACTGGAAAAAGTAATTTGTTACAGTAATTTTGTTACTAGTAATTTGTTACTCCCTAACACTGCGTACAACTGTATTATTTGCAAGGAGTGTTCAGTTTGAGTTTTAAAATTTTGTAAAATACATAGTTTTAATCGGGGCATCGAACTGTAATTTTTTTCGTTTCGGTTTACGGTTTTGGTTCAATCTGTAAAACGCATTTCGGTTTGATTCCGGTTTTCGTTCCTGAATTAGTATCGGTTTTTTTGGTTTTTCGGTTTTGCTCAGAAACTTAATTTTTTCAAGCATAGTTCCTTAAACGCATGTAACGGACATACGGCTATCCAACTTTCACCACAATGCCAACTTGAATTAAATTCTAGATTGTGAATAATAAGAAATCAATAACAAAAATGATTTTTAAATTTGTCAGTATAAAAGGAAACGTTTCTAATAATTTTTCAACAAATTAAAACTACCATTACAAAGATATTTTGAAATCACTAATATAAATATAAGATTGTTTCAAAAAAGATTAAAATTTTCTATGATTATTAATATATTTTTTTAAATGTTTTCAATGAAACCACTTCTGCAGTCTTTGGGGATAAATTTTAATCCAGAAATAGATACTTCCAGATTCACTTATGTAGCTGGTACTTCAAAATTTTGAAGATGATAGCACTTGATCTCAAATTTCTCCGATTATACTGGATTTCACTTCACGTGGCAATTTTTGCTTAAATTATCGGTGAACTCAGTCGGAAAAACAAACAAAAAGAGAGATAACTAATTTTCAAAGATAATAAAAATTAACATAGAATTTTAAAAGACGAAATAGTATCTAAATATTTTTTCTGAATTTGAAAAAAATATTTTCTTTTAAATTTTTAGCATCGAACCGTTATTTATATCATTACGGTTTACGGTTTCGGTTAAACTAGCAAACAATATTTCGGTTCGGTTACGGTTTTTGTTCTGAGCAAAATTTCGGTTTTTAACGGTGTTCGGTTACGGTTCAGTTCCGGTTTGATGCCCTAGTTTTAATTCAGCCTGCAAAATAATGTTAGACTTGACGATAATCTAAATTGAAAACAATTTAACAATTTAAGTTTATTTCTGTACTAAGCCCATTGCAGAATTTTGCAACATGATTTAATCAAATGGAAAGTTTGATAAATTATCACTCAGTACAAATTTAGTGATCTATAAATGAGAATATATACAAATGTGTTTATACACTTATAATTGTAAACTTGCATTTTATACTACTTTAATCTACCACCACACAGCCAGCCACACAAAAACATCAACTAAATAAATTTTTTTTATACTCATTCTAGTTAAAATTCTTCTTCGGTGAGCATATGCCTGGTGATTCAAAATGGAGGAATGAACTTCTGAATGATGTCGTAAAAAGAATAAACTGGAGAAACAAGTTTGAGTATGGTATGGTTCTGTGGTTGGAGGAGCAACATCCGAATTGGTTATTTCATTAATGTTTCAGTTGTTTCATAATTTGTGAAATGATTTCTAGTTTTTATTCAATTGAGGTTTACGTCCATTGCTAGATATCAAACGTATTATAACTGATTATTATAACTGATTTCTAAGAACAGCTGAATTCTGTATAAACGTTTGTCTGATCTTTAAGAAATGCCATGTTTATATATTTTCACTCAATACCATTTGAAACTTACACAGTTTTAATTCCTAATAATTTCCTTATTTCATTTCATGCTGGTAGTCATTAAATAATTTGAAAGCAAATATGACTAAATAAAAATTATTTGCTTTTATAGTTTTTCTAACAAACGACCGGAAATGGAAAAGATAAATCTATGGAATGATTTGAGACTGCCGACAAGTTTGTTGCCTCGTAAATATGAAGTTCTGATTAAACCCGATTTGAACAAGTTGACATTCACTGACTGGTCATGCATTGAAGTTGTCGTCAAAAACAGCATTCATTTCATCGTTATGCACGCCAAGAATCTTGATATTTGTAGAGTCAAAGTTCATTATAAAGATCGGCAAGGCTAGATGTTTGATAATTTATAATTTTGTTTCTTTCAGTTTAAGTTTTTCTTGCATATCTTTTTTAGAATTTGGTTTGCGTCAATGTCACTGCTATAATTTATGCATCAGTTAAATCACTCACTCTCACTCATAGTATGAATGAAAATTTTTTATTTGTTGAATCATGAAAAACAGACATTATCAAATGCAGTTATTTTGTCAAATGTTTAATGAATATAAAAGATTTGAATTACATTTTTTGTTAATTTGTTTCAAAAAATTGTCATTTAATGTGATTTTATACTAAAAAAAAAACATTTTGTTTTTTCCAGATACACAGTTGCCACCCAGTTCCAGCCAACACAGGCAAGGACAACTTTTCCCTGTTTTGACGAGCCCCACATGAAGGCACATTGCAAATTCAGCATCGTCAGACCAAATCATTACATCTCACTGTTCAATACTGAGAAGGTGGTGTGATGTTTTTAAAAGTTATTATATATTTGTATGAGAATAAGGCTGTTTACTTTAAATAAAATATCTTTTGTTTAAGATGGTCTAAAATTCTCCGAAAGCTGGTCTGTAAAAATTTGTCATATAAAAATACGTCCCTAATTTAATGTGGGATGCATTGGCAACATCACATGAAAATTTACATTTTAGAGAAGCCAAGTTGATTAAAAGTCCTGGCTTAAAAAAATTTTGGATTAGTTTCCAATATTTTTATTTCTGTTACTGAATTAATTTTGATTATAATCTTGACATGAACTAAAACTCAAAAATGTTTATATTCATTTATACCACACATTGAATTTATATATATTTATTATATTAATTTTAATATGAATATTATACTAATATAAATATATAAATTGAGCATCGCATTAAGATGGCGTCGGCTGCATTTTGCAGACTGATGAGTCGCATCTAATTAAATCCCAATCTAACCGTAATGACAAAGATTGCTGTGTACAAAGCGGTTTGCATATCTGCACTGCTTTACGGTTGTGAATCCGTAAACACATCAAACCCTTGAAGCCTTTCATGTTCGCTGTCATTCCAGCATTCTTGGAATGAGATGGTAGTACAAAATGCCCGTCACAGATATGTTTAGGATTGCATGTACTAAACCAGCTGAATATCTATTGTTACAACAACAGCTGCGCTAAATAGGTTGGCCAAAGAAGCGATTCGTGGATCAAGTGAAAGCGTACTTCAGAAATGTAACATAAATGCGGCTGGACTTATAAAAATAGCGAAAGATCGGTCTACATGGGAGGGATCTGTAAAGCTGGTCTTACGAGTTTTATTTAAAAATTGACGAATGTCTCTTACAAGCGTTGACTTATCCGTCATGTAGCAACATCAAAAAAGTTGAAACCAACTGGTCCTCGATGCCCCCATTGTGCTAAACTGTGCGCATCAGATTTTGGATTAAGAAGTCATCTACGATTTCATAGAAAAACGATTGTCACTTAACGTTTTTGCCGTTTCGGTGGACAACACAACAGCTCACACACATATCTACAGAGACACACACACAAATACACAGACACACATATATATATATATGTGTGTGTATGAATATATAATATGCTGGTAAATGACCATAATTAATGCAGTAATTTATATTTATATGTTTTTTTCGTTCGTTGATTTCAAAAAATTGAGATGTAAAAACCTACCAGGTTGCCGAGCTGATTGTATCCTCTAATGAACGGATGGACATTTTCAACACAACTCCTTTGATGATCTGCTGTCGTTTATTGTCTGTGACTACGTCCCAAAATCTCAAATGACCATGAGAGGAATTAATGTTGGTTTATAGTAAAAACATTTTTAGTATTTTAAGTGTTTTAACAAAAATAAGTAAAAAATATTTATAATCGTAACGTGCTCAAGATTCAAAATTGACAAACTTGGTAATTGAATTTCAAAGACAAAATATAACAAACTAATTTAATTGCTTGTTTTGAATTTACAAAAAAACTCTGAATATTAATTTAGTCATTAACAAAATATAATCTCTCTGTAATTTTAGTTTTATTTTGCTAATTTGAATTTATTGAAGCATCTTTTATTGAAGGTTTCAATCGTTATATTCCAACTAACAAAGTATGGGAAAGGATCAGAGAAATAAAAATAATTATAACAGAATTAGTCATATTATCTACAATAACAAATTTTTCAGTTCTGATAAGGAAATCTCAAATATTCTAGCCAGCAACTTCTATCAAACTTCCGAAATTCAAATAAAAAATTTTGCAAATAATAAATCAAGCGAAGAGACAACGTTTAGGATTTTAATTCAGAAGAACAAGAATTGTATAATACACCAATCACCATGAGAAAAATGATGTTTGAAATAAATAATAGCAATGAATCAACTTTTGGTCCTGTTCAAATTACCTATAAGATGTTAAAAAACCTTTCTCAAAAAGCGCTATCAATACTTCTAAGAGTTTACAATTACATATGGATTAACACAAAAATTCCAAATATTTGGCAACAGGCAATAGTCGTGCCCATAAACAAACCCAAAATAGCCAAAACTCATCAAAATAACTACAGACCAATTTCATTAACTTGTTGTACCTGCAAGATCATGGAGAAAATAGTTAGTAATAAACATCACCAAAGTAATTCCTAAAGACACGATGAACTGCCTTTACAAGGATAATGTCACAATGACTTTTAAAAATAAAGACATGATAAAAAAGCAGAATGAAATAAATAGAACGCTAAAATCCATTATAAATTGGGCATTGGAAAATGGAATACAATTTTCTGAATCAAAGTCTAAGATCTATGCTTTTCTCAAGAAAACAAAAGAGGATTTTTTCAAAGTTAAATTTTCAAGGAAATAATTTTGAGTTCTCAAAAAAATACAAATATTTAGGACTAATATTTGACTCAAAATTAAATTTCATTCCCCATCTTCTGGAAACAAAAAGAAAATGTCTAAAAGCACTCAATTTAATCAAAAGATTATCCCAAAATAAATGGGGAGCAGACCAAAAGCATCTAATAACAATTTTCTAAGCAACTATACGAGCAGTATTGAATTATGGTTCTCTAGTATATGGCTCTACACAAAAATCAACCAGGAAGATTCTACACACAATAGTAAACAAATCGTTAAGAAGGTGTCTAGGAGCATACAGAACATCACCATTCATAAGTCTTTATGTTTTGGCAGGAGAAATGCCATTAAATTTAAGACACCAAAAATTAGCCTTAAATTATTTTCTAAAAATTAAATTTCAAATGAAAAACCCGGCATATAAATACATAACAGGAAAAACTAAGTCACCAAAATCAAAATAAATCAAAATCAATTCCAACATTTCCAATAAGACTAAATGAATTCATCAGACATTAAAAATATAAAGACCATGAAAGAATTAAAGTTTAAATTTCCTCATTGATTACACTGGACAACAAATTTTAACTTTGTGTCTGCTACTTGAGCAAAATTATATTATCCATATAGAGTTTTTGATGCTGATTTCAAATATGTAATCAGAATTTTTGTAGCACATACAGTTTTTTAGTTATTTGTTTTTTTTATTTTTTTTAAATTTTGCTGTATTTAATGTTCAATTTCAAGTTTTTCATACCAAATTTAAATATCTAAATGTTTTTCTTTGTTCTATTTTATTATCTTTGTCTTTTATTCTTTGAATCTATTTTGTTTCCCTTAAATTTTATTAGTCATCTCTTCTTTTTATTCTTTTTTTGTTCAATTTTGTTATATAAATACACTATTCCAGAACTATATTATAAATATACAATTCTAAATTAATTTTAAATTTATCCAGTGATAAAAATAAAGAAATCTAACCGTAGTTGTTTGAATGAACCAGACAATTTTTGTTATATTTGTGGGCAATTTACACCTCGTGATCAGCGAAAAAATTTGTCAAACAGAATAAAGATTGCCTACTACCATTACTTTGGAGTAAAGGTGGCGGATCAAGAAAGAACCTGGGCTCCACATATTTGCTGCAGTGTTTGCTACGTAGGTCTCACTCAATGGTTAAATGGGAAAAGAAAGCAAATACCTTTTGCCATTCCAATGATATGGCGTGAGCCAAGAGATCACCATTCAGACTGCTACTTTTGCATGACAAATATACCAGGACATTCTAAGAAAACCAAAGCATCAATTGTGTACCCTAACTGTTCATCTGCAATAAAACCAGTTCCCCACAGTGTTGAATATCCTGTTCCAACTCCTCCTACAGACACTGTTCTTTATAGCGAAGAAGAACAAAGTGGTGATGAAAAGGTTGATGTTGAATACAAACCAGATTACGACAAAGATAAACCTCACATGATCACGCAGGGAGAACTTAGTGATCTGGTAAGGGACCTTGGGTTAACTAAAAATAAAGCAGAACTCCTGTGGTCTAGATTACAGCAATGGAATTGAGAGGAACTGAGTTGAGAGGACAGAGGAACTAAAATATCCCATTTTCGTGACCGGCACACCGAATTTGCAAAATTTTACAACAAAGAGGACAATATATGTTACTGTGTAGACATTGCTGGATTAATGACAAAATTGGATGATGAGTATGATCCTGTAGATTGGCGTCTGTTTATTGATTCTAGTAAAGTCAGTCAAAAAGCAGTTCTGCTACATAACGGAAATGTTAAACCATCCATTCCTGTAGCCCATGCAGTGGGTATGAAAGAAACATATGAATCTATGAAGACACTTCTTAAAGTTATAAAGTACACTGATCACAACTGGAATATCAGTGGGGATCTCAAAGTTGTTGCTCTTCTTCTTGGGATGCAATTGGGGTACACGAAACACATGTGCTTTTTGTGTCTGTGGAACAGTCGTGATGATGCAAATCACTATCTCGTCAAAGACTGGCCTGCGAGAATTGATCCGGTACCTGGACAATTTAACATTCTTCACGAATCGTTGGTGAATCCTGACAAAATCTTCCTTCCTCCTCTTCATATCAAATTAGGAATATTTAAAAACTTTGTCAAGGCGCTACCTACTGATTCGAAAGGATTTATTTATCTTAAAGATAAATTCAAAACCACTCTCACAAACGCAAAGATAGCTGCAGGAGTTTTTACTGGACCACAGATACGTGAAGTTATTCGTGACCCAAATTTCAAATTACAACTAGAGCCTGTGAAGTTGCTGGCTTGGGAAGCGTTTGTGGCACTGGTTCAGAATTTTTTAGGAAACCACAGATCAGAAGACTATGTGAAAACTTCATAATGGCATACCAAAACATGGGTTGTAGAATGTCCCTAAAAATCCATTTCCTCCATTCCCACCTTAGCTTCTTTCCTGCCAATTTAGGAGCTGTCAGTGATGAACAGGGAGAAAGATTCCATCAAGAAATCTCTGTTATGGAACACCGGTATCAGGGTCGTTTTGATAGTAACATGATGGGGGATTTCTGTTGGTTTCTACAGCGTGAAAGTGAAAGTCAATATAAGCGCAAAAGATCATTATCGACAAATTATTTTTATTAATTTAACTTTGAGACATTACCTATGTAATAATTTTGATTTAAATAAATAAAAAAACAATCAGATTATGAATATGTTTTGGTTTTGAGTATTCTTGAGCACAGCTGAAAATGGACTAATTTAGCACCTAAAATTCACAATCTTTTAGCTGTAACTTTATAACCTGACGTCCTATGACAAAAAGAATAGCAGATTTGTAATCAGCATACCCAAATTACCCTAGAACAACTAACAAAGTCTGAGTAGCAAAAAACTTGTTGCATAGTGTTACTAAATCACCCATAAATTGATACGTCAATAACAGAAATAGGCCAAGATGTAAAACCAGAAAACCTTAGTTAAAGAAAAAATTAATAACAATTTAAATTTTATTCAATCATATACGGATGGATCAAAAAGGAAAATTCAATGTTTGCAGCAATGGTGGCTTACTGGCAAAGGAAACCTGTTCATGGATTAATGATGCATCTACCAGGACCTGCTTTAAACTTTATTATTAATTCAGAGAAAAATAAATTCATAATATTTTCAAATTCCTTGATTAGATTACTTAATCAGCCCTGAAACAATACACATCCTTGAATCCATTAATAATTCAAATGCAAAATAAGATTTATAATATCCTGGATAGCAAAAAAATTAATTATAATGTAAATCCCCAGCTACATTGGAATTAAAGAAAATGAGAAGGTAGATCAGATGGCTTCTCAAGCTCATTCGATGCCATTATCTAGAATTCCAATTCCGTCCAGTGATTTAAAGAAATTAACAAACGACATTATTGTTGAAAAATGGCAGCAGGAGTGTATTAAAATCACCATTTTTTTAAAATTAAGTATGCCATCAGTAAATAACAAAAAGCTCAAAAATAGTTATTTAAATCGTTATCTTCAGTCTGTTATCAATAGATTAAAAATAGGAAACTTAGCAATCACACATTCCTGGATCCTCAACAAAACAAAGCCACCTTATTGTGAAGCCTGCGACAAAAAACTATCTATTCAGCTTTATATTAACTGAATGTGAAAAATACGATCAGATCAGAAGGAAACTCATGGCTCCATCAAATGTAGAATTGCTCTTCCAGAATAGAAGTCAGGAAGTCTTGATCTCATTTGTAGAGGAGATAGATTTGATCAACAGAATTTGAAGTTTTCTAAATGTCACAACAAAATAATCAGTTTCTAATAATCCAATGGCGTTAAAAGAGCTACATCGTGCTGAAAAGCCGTTAAGCTGCAAAAAAAAGAATTCGGTCGAAACCAAACGTTTTTTAACTATTTAATTTTACCTATAATAAGCAAACCTCTTTTGAAAATGTTTTCCTAAATTTCAAACGCCGAAGGTTTCTGTGTTCTTACCATCAGAAAGCATCGACAAAGTGGACTTCATTTTGGAGGCTGCCACCCAACTCCTTCACTTCTATGAACAATATTTTGGGATCAACTACCCGCTCAACAAACTTGGTTCGAAATTTCTGTTCTAATGTTGAACGTGATGATAAGAATTTTTATTTATTAATAAGAAAAATATTTGATTGCAAACAATAACTCTTTAATGTAGACGAAACAATAAGCTTTCACAAGAAGGTTTTTGATTATTTTACAGCCCAATAAAATAGTTTAATGGTATTACAATAGACAAATTAAAACTGGCTGAGCGAGAGTTATAAACTTTTTAAGCTTTTACAAAAACTTGATTAATAGTTTTTAGACATATTTTGAACTTCTTAGTCAGATTTCATCATCATTTTTCTAACTCGCCTGCAGATCTCTCGGTCGTTCACGCGACAAACGATGTAGCGATTGAAAGCTTGGGCCTCATTTGGACCAGACCTTCAGAATTACTTTATAAAAAGGATGCCAATACAGAGGTGGCGAAAATAATGGCTGTAAAGAGAATAGCACACGGCTTGGTTCACCAGGTTAGTTTCAGCAGGCAGTTGTATTGTTCAACCATACATTTTGCGATTAAGTGTGTTGGATATATTTCTTATTTTATTATCGATTAGCGTAAATAAAGTTATTGCGCTGTTTAAATGTTATAAATTTCACTTTGATCATTCTTTTTTGTCAACATGAATCAATCTCTGTAAGAAAATTCATGCAATCTGTAAAAATAATGTCCAGTGGTTCGGAAACCTGGTGACAATGGATTGGTGGGACGATTTGTGGTTGGTAGAAGCATTTGCTGCATACCTCCAAAGCGTTGGTGTCAAATATGTTTTCCCTGATTTGCATTCTGTGAGTTTTTCAATTTTAGATTTGATAATTTTTACCGAGTTTGGCTGAACATATATTTTTATTATGTTGAGAAAGGCGTTTAAAGCAAAATCATTCTTATGCAACGATGGGTGTGTTGACGTCGCCATGATTTAAAGAGCAGGCAGAATTTGAGTTTAACACGTTACAAATTGCGTGTATGTATATGTAACTTTCACTTTTTTCTCAACTGTAACTAATTAATTGTAGAACATGCAGAAACTAATTCTATAATTGAAACATGTCAATAAAAGATTCAGTTCAGTAGTTTAAAAATGTATAACAGTGTAGGTAATGTTGAAACTAATTTTTTTTTTTGAATGTTTGTAAAATGTCAAAGATTGGTATGATTATCAAAACTTAAAGAAGGACAGAAAATTCAATTCGAAAACATGCGTTCAAAATTATTTTCAGTTTGACAAATCAGCACTGATTGGAATGGAAGAAGCCTTGAAAGCTGATTCGTTGGAACGCACGACTTCTCTCAAATTGATCAACCAGAATATTGATCCTTCCAACCTCCAAAAGCTCTACGATGCATTTCCATACGACAAAGTTCGTAAAAAATAGATTCGCTGTTGTGTCGCATCATTTATTTGTTGCAAGTGGTTGCAACAATTAAATAAACCGTGGGCTGCAATTGCTAAAAGTGACATTTGACATAGTGTTGCTAGAAATATAGTTGTTTTTTAATAGCAAACAATTCAGAAGTACAGACAATATAAACAACTCAAAGTTATTTTAGATTAAATTAATATTTAATTTATAAAAATGTTTTCAAACGTATCAATTGAATTTTTTCAACAAAATAAACTAAAATTGAATGTACACAGTACAATATTGACTCAAAACGCCACAAGGAAATATTAAAAAGGTAACAGATGTTTCAGTTTCTGCTGAATGAAATTAATTTTTTTTCTATTGCAGAGTTTATCAATCATCGGCATGTTGGAAACGATTATGGGACCTTCTTTGTTTGAAAATGGGCTGAAGAATTTCCTACAATATTATCAGTTTAATAATTTCATCAGGAATGCAGTTTGGGAATTTTTTTCACTACAGGTGGAGTGCTGAAATTGTATTATTTAATAAAATTATTAATTAATAAGGAGGCTTTACTTTGAAAATTTTTTTCATAGAAGTTGAAATTTTGAAATTTTATAATCTAAGTAAAAAATACGAATATTTTTTTGAAGAAGGCGAATAATAATTGAGACGCTTTGTTGGATTTTTAAGTTTAAGAAAATACAAATCTTATTCACATCTTAACAATTCTTGTTTTGCATCATCTTTAATAAACTGCTATTTTTTAATTTTATATCATTATTTTAAAGATATTAAGTTTAGTTAGGGTATTCTTTTATTTGTAATAAAGAAAAAAATTTTTCATAGAAAAAAGGCATCTACCCATCTAAGATAAAAGATATTATGGACGGCTGGATCTCACAGGAAGGGTTTCCTCTGGTTACAATTAGGAAGAATGGCCGCGACCTAACGTTTCACCAAGAAAGATTTGTTGTCAGTAAAAAATTAGGCCTAGAAGATTTTAGAGTGGACTTTTCAAAATTTAAGTTTGTACGATTCTAAGGGTATTTCACATGAACGATTTTTAACAGCACTACTTGGATAATTCCGTTCAAACTTGTTACTAACAAATATCCCATTGATTACATCACTATTCGCTTTGGAACCAAAAATCGTGAGTGGAGCTTTTTAAATGGTTATGTGTTAACCGAACTTTTAATTTTTGTTTAAGCATTTTATTATTTAGCGGCAACTTTACAAATTTGATTTCATTAGCATTGCCATAACCACACAAAATGCTCGCGTGAGAAAACACGTACGAAGTTTATTTATTAATTAAAATAATAAACAAAAAAAAAATTAAGAAAACAAATTTAACATCATTTTTAGCTTATAGAATGTGGCCACGTGCGTTTATAAACTGACACAGGAAAACTTTTATGTTTTTCATACAATTATATATTACTTTTAATTGATTTCTAATGTCACAATAATTTCAACAAGATCATTTGAAACTGAAAGAAGATTACGATTTGTTGTATGTGCACATGAAAGGTTTTTTTTTATAACTTATTTTTAAGAATATTATTACGTTAACGTTGTCATAAATGATTTATATAAGTTTTGGGTTTGACCGATTTTAACTGCATCGTTCTTTTGAAATTTTGAGACACGATTCATAGAAATGTAAGGTCTATTTTAATTAAATATTTCATAAAAAGGTTAATAAAATGTATTGATTTTATAATTAATTGTGAATTTGTGTTAAGCATTATGTCGTTCTACTTTTTTAAAAGTGTTTTTTTAAACTACGCTTTTTCCAAATTTCTCAACTTGTTATACGAACATTTAAGACGTTATAATTAATCATTTTATATTTTATTGCTTCTTAACAATAACAGTTTCATATAACAATCTTTCAATACCTTTTATTTTGAAATTCCATCTCAGGATTCTACAGAGTGAATTATGACATGGCCGGCTGGCGAAACATCGTCAAACAGCTCAGATCCAATCACACCGTATGGCTTTTCTTTCAATATTTAGTCTACAAATCGTTGAAGAGTAACTAACTCAATTCTTTCTCACTACTTGCTTTAGAGACATCGAATACACACGCGCAAACACATAAAAAACCTCGCATATGATAAGCAGGGATTTTTTGCGTTAGAACGGAGTCTGGCACTCTCAACCATTACGCCACCAGGCCACACGAATTAGCATGAACGTGTCGATCAGAAAAATAAATTTCTTATCAAAATAATTTCTTTTAAAACGAAGGTCTTCTTTCACATAGACAGAACCAATTTACTGAACGATGTCTTTGCTTTAGTGAAGTATATATTAAACTTTTCATTCATTAACTTTTTTCATTAACGACACAAGATTCTTAGCATTTTGTTATATTTACTAGTTGATGTTTTTAATAATTTTGAATATTTTCGGTTCCGATTTAAGAAGCACCCAAATCAACCATTTTGTGATTTTTAGTGAATTTTTAATAATTTTGATGAAATCTATTAGAAAAAGTTCAAGTTAACTGTCATCAATCCACAGTTCAGGACACGTTAGGCTGAAAGTAGCTCTTAATTTCTTATCGTACATGAAAGCGGAAGAACATGTCAATCCGTGGCTCGTTGTGCTCCAGAATTTGAAAAACATCATCGTACAATTTTCAACCAATTCCGATTATCCGAAACTTAAGGTCGGACTCCTTCAATGAATAAATGAATGAATGAATAAATGAATGAATGAATGAATGGATGGATGGATGGATGGATGGATGGATGAATGGATAGATGGATGGATAGATGAATGGATGGATGGATGGATGGATGGATGGATGGATGAATGGATGGATGAATGGATGGATGGATGGATGGATGGATGAATGAATGGATGGATGGATGGATGGATGAATGAATGGATGGATGGATGAATGGATGAATGGATGGATGGATGGATGGATGGATGAATGGATGGATGGATGGGTGGATGAATGAATGAAAATTTCCAAATGTGTTATCTAATGTATTTATATTTTTTGGACATTAATATTAATTACGTTTATATATTATAGTGTTATTTTAACTAGGTTGCCATGAGAAACCTGATTACCCCACAACTGAAAAAGCTTGGCTGAGATGATGTGGGAGATCCAACCACAAAGTAAGAAAATGATTGGGACAATTAGATAACGATAGTTATTAGATCGTCCAATTGTTGAACAATTTATAATTATTTTTACGCAACAGTGTGCATTAACTCGCAAGTTTTGCATAAATGTTAATCCATCGCCCTTTCCAGATTGGTGAGAGAATACCTGATGACATTAGCTACAGAGCTGGGTTTCCAGGAACAAGTTGACTGGGTGTTAGGTTCGTTCAAGAAAGTTGCCGATGGTTCATTAAAGTTAGTTTTTTCCTTAAATAATTCAATGAATTGGGATGTTAATAGATGCCAAACAATAAGAACAAAGAAAATTATTTTTCAATATTAACTGCTTCATAAAAACTCATAGTAACAATCTTGATATTTGTTTACCTTATTGTCAAAGTCTTTCATATGAATTTTGTTATATTGCTTCACTGTGCAGAGAGAGACGAATCAAGAAATAATCGTGTTCAGGTATGGAGTAAGATATGGAGGGCAGGAGGTCTGGAACCATGTGATGAGTAGTGTCGCATCAACGAACTCTCCTAGCAACAAAAGAAATATTATGTTGACGGCTTTAACGTACACCAATGATACCACCAAAGTTTACAAGTAGATATGTGACATACCTAAGAAGTTTCAATTTTAAAAATTGCAAATTTTTTCATCGAAGAAAACTGTTTTATTTTCACAGTCAATGAAATATTTTAAAAATATTTTTGTAGTAATTCTTAGCTCGCAAATAATTGTTTAGATTTCTCTCGTGATTAGCACATTATTCAGAGTAGGCCAAATAGCGTGAATACTTATTTCAATGTTTCAATATTCAAAACAAGTAATCATTTAAACTTTTGATAATTTGGAATAGAAGTCAATAAAAGAAAAATCAATTACATATATAGTTTTTATGTCTTTTATTTTACAATGATTTCTAAATCATATTTTGTGTACTAAATCTATAAAAAAAATTGAATTTATATAAAAAAAATTACCATTTCAGATTATTAGAAATGTCTATAAACGAGAACTTCATATCGACTGAAGAGTTTCTAGAGTTATTAGAAAACATCGCAGTGCAACCATCCATCAGTGAAGTTGGATGGTGGTTCATGAAGAAAAATTGGAGCAAAGTATTTCAGAGGTTAATAGTTGTTTATAAGTTTTCGCTAAATAACTGGCTTTTATTGCTAGGATGTTGGTTTCGTAATCTTGAAATAATTTCTAAGTGATAACGTTCTGACCTTACTACCCAATGCACAGACCTTACTATAGAAATACTTATGTCAGGCGCCTTGCTTCTTTGAAGTTTCTTATAAAATATTTATTTTTCAAACACTGGAGTTTATTAAAAAGATTCCAAATTAAGTAATCTGCTGTTTATCACGTTGATATTTTTAATAAAATTACAAAAATTAACGATAAATTTCACTGTTTTTTCGCTGAACATTACGTAAATCGCGGTGAAAATTCAAACTACCCAATGTACTGAATCATATATTGTAGGTACTAGTTAACAAACAATTCACGCCAAAATTCAACCCAGGCATATAATTATTGGGTCGAAATACTTATTCATAGATATATGCATATATATATATATGTATATGTAAATATATATATATAATATATATATATATATATATTTGTTGTGTTTGTTTTCTTCTTTCCATTCAACAATTTGTTTTTAGTTGTTTAGTTTATATAAGCCTCAAAGTAATTACAGCCTAAAGTTATAGTAATTCATTGCACATTATTAGTTTGAAAAATAATTTTAAAACAACCTGAGGAAAATTTCGATTGTATTCCTAATTTATCCCAACGAAAAGTTAGAGCACTCTTCCAAACTGATAATTCTGCTAAATTGTCATGAAATTAATTTTGGTCACAATTTCATATATTTTCCGTTGTTTTGGTTAGTTAATGAATTAATTTAAAATTGACATAAAACCATTTGATTGTTTAATGGTTTAACAAAATGTGATTATAGAATATATTTTATGTTTTATGGTAAGGGTGTCTGGAAGTCAGAAATTGCTGCAGACGTGTTTTGGAGCACTGTCCTCAACTTTTACATCAAAAAGCCTCCATGACGAAGTGAGTGCCAATGGCAATATTAAGCTGCTTGGTTGTTTATATTCTCTAATATTATACAAAATCGCTATATATACACATGGGAATAATACTTAAATATGTATACCGTTCAGTTGAAATCCTTCCTCAACGAACATATGTTTGGCAACCCTCAGTGGAGGAGCGAGCTTCTGCGTGATGTGACGAAACGAATTAAGTGGAGAGATGAATTTGAAGATGAGATGGTTCAGTGACTGGAGGAACAAGACATTTGTTAGTCTGTTCACACTTCAAAGATGATAATTTTTTTATTTTCATGACATTTTAGAGACGAGTAAACAAATTATAACTGTTAAGAATATATAAAAGTCGCAATAATTTCAACCGTGTAGTTCATAGAAACGAATGAAATGTGATATTTTTCTACATTGCGCTAAAATACCTTTTGACTATATAAGATTTCTGTTGAAATTGTTAAGCAAATAAATGAATGAATAAACAAACAAATGAATGAATGAAAGAATAATTTATAGACTGAATAAATGATTGATTGAAGAATTGTTCCGATGTCACTATGTTGTAAATTTTGCGGCATTCATAACATTGAGTATTTGGAGATTTTCGCAAAAAATGTTTTTACAAGACTGAATGTCATCCTGAAAACCGCTTTAAAAAATGCTTGAAAAATCAGATACTTGAATCAATATTTTTTGCTTCATTTTAAAAAATCATATTTGCTATATAATAAAATTTTAATGAAACATTATGAAAATCATGTGAAATAAATTAGAAAAATATTTTGTTTTTGTTATGCGACAAAAATTATTAATATAGCTGTGTAAAATAATTCTTTGAAATTGTGTTTCACGTATTTTAATATGTTTTACAGATAATGCTCTTGAAACATGTTGCCCAATAATAAAGACTAAAGAAATTTGTCTAAATAATTAAATAAACATCAAATATCTTACTAACAAACATTCATTATTGTAGTTGTTATGGAAGCAAACATTTTTAGATAAATTTTGGATTTTTTGTTATATCGTATATTTCCTTCATCTAAATATTTGATTTGACCATTCTTAGTGGTGGGTTTTACTGATAACATTCCTGTTTTATTATTAACGAATATTATTTTAATGATTAAAAAACTTCCTTAAATGTTTTACAATTTTGATAAAATCTTGAAGCACCTCAATTCTCATAGAAAATCTGAAATACTCTCCAGTTTTGTACAAAACCCCAGGAAAATTAAAACTAATAATTAAAACTAATGCTAACAAATTTAAACTCCACGGCGCCGAAACTGCGGGGCTCCAAAAATCAAGACTGCAATCTTGTTCATGTTTTTAAGAAAAAACTTAAAAAATATTCAGTTAATACAACTCAGTTAAATTTACTTGCATAATAATATAAACTTAGCTGTGAAGGGTGTCTAAGTTCTAATTTTACGATCAATTAATAATTTTTACAGTTGAAACTATTAAGACGAAAAATTATAAGAAATAAAAATAAGATAGTTTGTAAGAATTGTTATACATCTGACCGTTCATTTTCTTCAGGTAGATATTTTATTAATTAATTCGATTAACTTTTCTAATTTATTCATGTTTTCTGAAATGTTGTTAAATCATCCGAGCATTATACCCATCAACCATATATATATAATATCACAGTCTGGATCACAATAAAATATCTAACCAATTTTTAAAACCTGTCATAAACTCAATAAGTGTTACACTCTCCCACTCGTTTAATCCTTCATTGTCAAGTGGTGTTTTCCCAAATTGTTTTAAAATAGCTAGAATTGTTCCAATTCATAAGTCTAACTCAGTACACAATGTTGATAACTGCAGACCGATAAGCATTCTAAGTTCAGTTTCAAAAATTGTCAAAAAGTTTGTCGAGGTAAGATTAGACTTGTTTAAGAACAACTCATGCGTGATCACAAAAAATTGGTTTGGCTTTCGTAAAATGCGCTCCACGGAAGATGCCGTTATGGGTGCGACGAACGAGAATGTCTTCGTTTTGGAATGTCAGTCTCAGTTGTTTTCCTGAGTTTTGCAATGGCTAACGACTCGGTCCTTCATAATATTAATGATAATATGTATTAATAATATAATATGTAATGTTTTTTTTATTACTTGGTTTTTACAATTTAATCTTCATACATAAAATGTTTTGGTTTTAAATAAAATAAATTAAATGACTTATTCTCAATTCATGTTATTGCAACTCCTTTTATATTTGATGTGAATATTCTTTCGTTGTAGCTTTTGACTTTGCTGGTTTGTTTTAAAATTGTGCTGATCTTTTTTAGTGTGTTTGAATTGATTTTGAATATTTTGTCACCGATTTAATTAAGATGTATTTTTTCGGTTTTCATTTTGTATTAATGTACAAATCAATTATGTAAATAAATAAAGATGGAGTTGAACAATGCGTGGACATAGGTTAAGGCAGCACAGCCTAGCTTGGAAACTTTATTTGACAAGGACTGTATACACACAGCTGCATAATTTTACGTCGACCCCGCTTATGCATGTAAGCAATTTCATGTACTTGTACACTTGTACAGCCTACTTTTGTATCCTTGTATTCAACGTATTTTTGCGACAGCCGGTTATCGTCAAACTTCAATACTTAGCGAGCTGATTTTTAATAACTTGTCCCTATAAACTTTATCTCATTTCTTTCATCGTTCTTTTCTTTCTTATAAATTTGTATTTAAAAATTTCAACTTTGTTTTTCATTGTTCTAAAATTAAATCTCTTAATTTTTAAAATTTAGCAATGACTGACTCAAATTTAGCGCACAAATTTTTCATTTTTATAATATTTATTAAGGCAACTGAGCCATTCCAAACATATTGAAACAACTAAAAACAATTTTGAACAAACAAACAATCAAATGCAAATTCCATAAAAAGAACGAAAACATTTTTGTAGTGCATTAAGATAAATAAAAATCATCATGCAAGTCATACCTCTCCCAGTGTTCAAAAATGTGAGATGTTTAAAAAAGTTTTTAAATCTTAAAATTGTTTTAAAAACAAAAAGTTTTCAAAATTAAGAATTGTTTAAATCACTGGCACGCTCAAGATTTTTAATAAGTTTAATCATCGCTAACAGAACTTATTTCAGAAGCTGTTGTGTTAGGAGCTGCTTTTGCTGGAGCTGTTGCGGTTTTTGCGGCATTATTTGGTGCAACTGCTTTGGTATCTTTTGTTGATTCAGCAGTTTCACTGTCTTTAGCTTTGTAGTCTTTTTTGCTTTCTAAATTTTTCACCTTGGACTTTTTTTTTAATTCGGATTTTTTTACATTGGGCTTTTTTTCTTTAGTGTCTTTTTTTACATTGTGCTTTCTCACCTTGCCAATGAGATTTGAGTTATCAAGTTTATCGCCAACTTTTGCTTTAAACTCTTTCACTGATTAGGAAATGATAGCTTATATAATATAAACGAAATTGAAAATTATCTGGAAGTGATTAAAATTTAAATCTAAATAAAATACGTTTTTATACGACATGAATAAATAAAATAAACAATTAAAATTATTTCATTCGAATAGTACCAGCTTGAACTTTTTGCTCATATATCAATGGATGCCTCTTCTTGACATAACTAATCGCACAACAAACTGATATTATCAAAAGTAGGAGGAAACATCCAAGAACCAAGAGAACTTTCATAAACGGCCCTATATCCTTTGAGGGCCTCGGTGCTATCAAGCAACGAAAGTCATTTTAACATTTTAATTTAAATAGAAAATAAACAAAATCATTAAAATCGGCTTACAAGTTGTTTTGAACTTGGCGGCAAAACTCATGGCATCATGGCATTCCGATGTTATCTCGGGACCAATAAAAACTTTTGAGCAGACTAATTCTTTCGGACAAGCTCCATTATTGAGCGAACAGTCTAAGAATATTTAAAATTTAATCATCCATGAAGAATAAAGGATAGAAGAGATTACCTCTCTTGTTGCAAAGTGGCCCTGTCCAACCAGGATCACACATTCCTGGCTTGCAATCAGATGCAGCTGATGTGTCAATGCAGAAGTGACGTTCACTTTTTGCTTCAAATCTTGAGAAAGCTGGAGGATAATTATATTTTTTTATAGATTCATTGCAAAATTATTTCATGCGTGTTGGAGTAGAAAATTTTGAAAAAAAAATTTAAAGCTCAACAAAACATAAAAATAACTTTTATTTATCGGGTCGTACGCTCTTCGTTGGGAAATGATTATATTGTTTTGTGGGGCAATTTGAAATGTTTTGTTATACAATTTTAAAACAAATGATTAAAAAATTGAATAATTTATATGTAGTTAAAAGCTAATATCTCAAAACAGGTTTTTTCATCATAAATATGTACGTATTTTAGACCTGGAAAATATAATCAAAATAAATTTTTTTATGATTTCTTTTTTGGAAAGAAAAGAAGCAGAATGGGCTCCACCGCAATAAAACGCTATATTTTTATGTTGAAATAAGATATGTATGTCACATAATTTTTAGAGAAGCATGGAATTTTTCTCCATGACACAAAAAGGTCAAGAAACACTGTCCTAGCAAGTATTTTAATTCTGCAACAAAAATTATATTTCATCTACTTTTATATAGAGAAAATTTGCTTTCGCCTCCACAAGACAGAGTTGCACTGTCCCTACATTTTTGATTGCACTGAGACGTGGCAACTTGTAGTGAGGCATTCATTAAATTTCCGCAAATGCATTGAACTGAATTCTGGATTATAAAATTAAACCAAATAAATTGTTCTAATGTATCTGAGCATAATAGATGTAGGTGATTTACCTTTATGGCAAATTCGATGGAGTTTTGTGTCCTGCAGTGCACCGAGCAAGATGTAAATGCCTCACCCTGAATGACTCTAAACAGCTTGTTCTCCTGTTGCAATCCTTCCGAGTAACAACCAACGTAACTTGGTTTAGGCAATTTGGCTGAAAATTTGTAAACTTTTGAACATCAGAAACACAATTTGATCGCTTCAAACATGTTATAGAAGCACAAAGCAAATACTTAAAGTTGAATGATGTTGGAAACCTGAGAAAACAATGTAATGGTCAGGTCCTCCACACGGGTTGTCATCAGAACACATCAGGTTGCAATTAACTGATTCACTTTCTTCACAGGCGGACCAACCACAATGGCATTCGTCACCATTCTAACGGAATTTTTGAAAAATTTGGAAGTTAACGAATGATGTAAAAATATTTTCAAGGAGTTTAACAAAATATTCTGTTGTAACCTACTCTTAATGGGAAGCAATGAAATTTTAAAAATAAATTTGAAAACAATCACTGATCATTCTACCATTTTTAATGAAAGATTATACGTTCAAAAAATATCGTATTTTCATCAAATGTAATGAATCTAGCTCATGAACACACATCCTTTTTTGTGCAACTCTGTTTATTTCAAACTGTAAAAGAATTAATTCACTGACACTCAAGCCGACAATTAACATGGGGTTTCTGAATTCTTCACAGAATTTTATGCATCCATCAAATGTGAGATTCTTTGACTCGAAAGTGTGCGCAGTATCAAAAGAACCAAAACATCCAACGTAATAATATTCTCGCAAATCTCCTGCGTTAGAAGCCAATAAAATTTTATTTAAAATTATCATCTGTGATAAATTTACTAAAAAAACCCTGAAAAAACTTGAAAAAGATACAGCCAACAAAGTGAATTAGTTTGAAATAGCAGTGTAAGACTTATAGTGTGACAGAGAAATGGAGAAAATTGAGAACAAACCTGCATATACTTCAATTTCATCAATCGCCATATAATTTATTTCTTGTTTAAATTCAGGAAAAAGGATGACGTACATTGATTTAAACTCTGGATACTTGCATGTCACACGTTTTGGCGGTTCTGCACATAATGTCATGTTAACTTCATAAGTATTGCATGGAATCCCAAGCGAGTTAGCAAGCAAAATATCGTCCAACTCAATCACATAAGTCTGGTTGCCATTCCCTACAAAAATTGTATAAACATTTTAAAGTAGTGGAATTGTGCGCAATCGAATTCATCACCATTACCAATTTTACGGAAATTTGGTCTGTGATAGACAACAACATATTGCACTTTGTATAAAGCATCAAGATGCACAGTAATTAATACATCATCTGCTGATTGAAGAACATGACTCAAAGAATTCTGTATGATGTGGCCATCGACCAGATAATGTGATGAAACAGTTTCAAGTTTGGGAATGGTGTCAACTCTCTTTCTGTACGCTAAATTCTTAGACGGCAATTCTTTTAAGATAAATTTTGTTTCAATCATATAAATAGTTCACAAATAGACTACAAAACAGGGATGTGTAGCAATTTTAAGTATTTCTACATGACACCTAAGTACTTGTACTTGTTATTTTTACATTGTACTTTAAAAGTTATAAAAAAACGTACAAATATTTTACAATTAATTTAAAAATTATAGTTTAAAATTTTAATTAGTTTATTTAGATATCTCGACCATTTTTCCAAATTCGGCTAGACCAAAATTGAGCCGGATTTTTGTCATCTAAGTTTTGATATGCAACGAATTTGTCCAAGTTTAAATTTTTATCGGAGGCGAAAGAGGCCAAAATTTGTGGTGGTGTGGCCAAGCTAGCGACCTTTTCATTTTGTGCTTGTAACGTCAATTCTTTGACGATTTTTGACATTAAACGGTGCTTTTTTTGTTCAAAAAATAAGTTTTACTAACTTTTAATAAAAATACTGCTACTTCCTAGACTCGCCGTTGGGAGTGTTTTACAACAAGGATTTAAGCTTGGTTTGAAGCTATAGTTACGACTTAAACAAAATGCACTGTCTACTAATTTGCCTGCGACTACGGCCTTTGCCGGATTTGAAAAAGTCAAATCTGGTTCAGTTTAGTTTAGTGTTCCTTTGCATTTGAGATGAAAGTATTTGTACTTGAATTATAGTACTGTACTTGAGGTGCAAGTGCTTGTACTTACAAAAATTTAATTTCTGTACTTGAAAAAAATTACTTGGAAACATTTCTGTTAGACAATTTAAAATAGAATAAGTTTGAAAATATTGCTTTACTTTCACAAGTCCATTGAGCAGTTCTGTATTCACCGACTACACAAACGCATTCGCCAAATGTTTTTCCTTTAACTTGTATTTCGTTGCAGATCATCATATTACCACCACACTCTTCTTTATATGAGCCACAAACTTCATATTTTTCAAATTTAAAAAACTAAGTTTAAATGTATGAATCGATTGCAACTTAAGAAAAAATTGAAAAATTTACCTCTCCTGTCACAGAAATCACCAGTCCACCCTTCATTGCAAACAACATCACAACTTGATAAACTTTTCAGTTCAACTTCAACACCACAATGTGTATAAACTGACTGACCGGCTGGAGTTTCCAGATACGTTCCAACTGTAAGATATGATTGTAGATGTAACTAATTAAAAAAATTCAATTGTTAAATTATAGGATGAACAACTTAAATGTTATATTCATAACAATATACTACTTCTTACCTAAAAATTTGGCCGCACAATTTATCCCGCCACACTTTTGATCCTTATTTCCGCCACATGCCACCATGCAGTTGCTTTCATAATTTTTCGGATCACCGCATGTCTCTTTCTCTCTGGAGCTGCACTGGCATTCATCTGCAGCCTTGTACAATGCAATGATGTTCAATGTATAGTACATGTTTTTTTGATTGCTCTTATATTGAAACTCAGTTAAAACTTGAAGATAATGGCGCAATTTTAGAAATTTTAAAAGCGTGTGTTAATCGTTTGCTTGCTGATTAAGTTAAAATATAAAACCAAAAACAATAATTACGCTGTTATAAATGTTTGCAAGCAATGACAAGAAGCAATTGATATGAAGCATAGTAACTGTAAGGTATGCCAGTGGTAATGCATTTTCAGCACAGATCTTCATGCATAATTCTATGGTCAATAAATTCACGTGTTTAAAAACTTTCGCATCGTCCGGAACCACGGAACCGGCATCGACCAATGCATGTTCTACTAACTTGGCAGGTTTTGCTTGAGAAATAAAAATTTCTGTTGAGTTAGCGCTCAAAATTTTATGAAGAACTCAAAGCAGACTTTGATAAATGGAATAATATATAGCGCCTCCACAAAATTCATCCATATTCTCGCACGTCATGTTACAAAATTTACTCGAAACCGGGTAGAAGGCCTTTTCAACGCAGAAGCACATTTTTCCTTCCTTCCGGTTAAAAGTTAAAAAACTTCAAAAAACATTAAAAAATAACTAATTTTTAGATTAAAAATTAAAAAGCAAACATTTATTGATAATTGATTAATTAATAGTACTACAGTTAACACACGTCCGGATGAAAGTTTTTTTTTAAATAGTCGGCATTCAGAAGAGTCAATAAGAAGGTAATTATGTTCATCTGCATGCAGTCCATTTTTTAATTTTCAGTAACTCCATTTAACGCTTGAACATTTATCGAGCAAATCATGTTCGAAATAAATTTGCCAAGAAAAAATTTATTCAAAACTTTTTATGATAAACTTTTGTGAAAAATTTGTAAAAAATCTACCCGAAATAAAACCTATGTATGTAGCAAAAATCTATTCAAAAATAAACTCATGTTATGAAAAAAAAACTCACGCCAAGCCCGATGAGGTAAGCATCTTGCTCATTTGCACAGAAATTCTCACATGCTACGACGCTGTAAACTGGTTTGACGGAGGAGTGCACAACGAGTGCATAGCAGCCGATGTACTCCCTTCTGCTTATTGCCACAAAGCCAAACTCTTCAAATTAAATTACTCCATTCAATTAGAGATGAACGTGCAAACAATATTTACCTTCAAAATTTTTCTATCATGAATGCAAATGTTTGCTGAAAGTGGTGAATGTTACAAATTTGTTTTGCCAAGGAAGTGGTTAAAAAAATTTTATCTGGTCATTGTACGAAGAAACGTTTTTTGTGAAGTTCACAATTAAATCTATGTAAAAAAAAACAGTTAAAAATGAAACTCGCGTGAAAAAAATCTGATCGAAATACGATCTCCGCAAAAATGGAACAAAGTTTGTAAGCAATTAATTCTGTCGTTGAAGGGGTCAGATTTCATATGCTTAGCGACCAATCATCATTAATTTTGGCATAGATTTAATAAACAAAATAATGGTGAGAAAATTTGAGATCGAAGGAAAACAATTTAAATAGTAATAAATAATATCCTGGATGGATAAAAAATAATTTTAAAACCTGGAGAGAATCGTTAACAAATATTAACCTCCATTCACCTCCATGCGGATAATGAAGATTTACATTAAGACATTTTAATTCTTCAAACTAGTCGAAACACATAGAATTATTACCTTGAAGCAGGCCATTTTTGTTCAAGCCATAGTTTTCAGGATACTTGCATTCCGGTATTTCCGACCCGGCCCAATTATATTGAGTGCAAATCGCATTCACACCGCATGCTCCATTTTCAACAGGGCAATCTGTTTGAAGTGAGAACTTTTAACATTATCAAAAAAGTGAGTATTTAAGAATTTTAGACGTTTTAAAAATAACGAAATTATTTTTTAGAAACGAGTTCTTCCTCTAAAATTATGGCACTAATTATTATTTATTTCAGCAGATGAAATATTTTCAGACAGGACTTCTCTTATCACAAAGCTCTCCGGTCCATCCAGCTGTACAATGGCCTGGCTCACAATCGCTTGCAACTTCTTTTTCATTCATACAGAAGTGATAATTGACAGGATTGTTTCTGTAGTTGAACATGTTCTGTCCTGATGATAATCAACAATCTTTTTATTCTACAACGATTACGTTGCATTTTCTTTGAAAAACAACATAAAGCTTTTATATAGTAGTTAAAGAAATATTAAGTGCCCGCTCTGTTTTTACTGGTTCAAAATTAAAACTTCTATAAAGATGTTTAGCAGATTGATATTTGAAGACACGGAAACATTACTTTTGTACAATGAAAATGTGTCGGCCGATCCGCATGTTTTCCAATTTTCACTTTTGCACTTCATTTGACAAAGACTTGAATCAATTTGCTGATTTCCAGCAAACAATCGGTCACCACACACGCAATATTTACCATCCTATGAATCACGAGATACGGAAATGTTTTGTAAGTATTATTTATGTTGTGTAGCCAATAATTCTTTTCATTCACTACAATCAAATTAAAAACCATTATCTTGGCAAACTATCTCAGACGGTAGCAGTGCCATCACGTCTCGCATCCTTATTGCGCGCTAACCTGGTTCGAACGTCTGGTGTCTTGCTTGAGAGTACATACATATGTGTATGTTGCGCCACTCTGCACGCTACAGCTTTCGGGGCACAAGAACTTAAACGCGCCTAAAAAAAACAAAAAGAAATTTGTTGCAAGCCCTGTCCTTGTCGAAGCTGCAAAAAAAGAAAAAAAACTTTTCGTTATTGAATGTAAATTAATGATGAGTGAACGATAACCAAAGTTGACTACCTTGATAGCGAATTCTTCAAATTGATAAACACTGCAGTATAACAAGCACGATTTGAATGGCGAATCCATGTTTGCCTCCTCTTTTGATTGTGCTCTTGATTCAATGGCGTCATTATTGAAACAACCCAAGTAACTTGGCTTGTTCAAATGGTCTGCAGTGTTGAAGGTTCAACTTGTGCATCAACTAACAATTTATTCTAATAAAATTATAATCGTTTGAAAGTTATCGTACATTATAAGGAAAAGTTTTTCTGCAAATTTTATCACATATAGTTTTGGTTGTTGACAATAAGATGTAAAAAGGTGAATTATTTTTGCGATGACAATTGATAATTTACCTGAGAAGACCTCGTAATGATCTTCGCAAGTTGTCATGTCCATCTGAACGTCTGCATCTTTTCCGCAGACACAAAATTTTCTTTTCTGAGAGAAACGTTTTCACACCGAACTCATTTTAATTTCATAAAAAATACCTTTCAGAGTTTTAAAAAATAACAATAAGAATATTTTTGAAGCGTCATACGATTGCTGCTTAAGAAATTACGAACAAAATTTGAAAAGCTGACACTTTAGCACGATTTGAAAGATGCAGCGAGGAATTCAGCAATTCAGCCTTACCTTTGGAGGCATGCGGAAATGGTGTCTCCAAGATTTGATATGTGGACGTAGAAAGTTAAATATTTGTCAAACTGAGTAACACGATGAAGTCTTATACAAAAAGTGTTGATCCTGCGGTAATTGCATTTTGAAATGTGGGAGACTTCAGAAACTGTTGACGTGTTCCAGCCAGAGTGCGGTGGTTGTGGGAACAAATGTACAGGAAACAGAAATATGCAGACGTAGATATTGATAAAAAAGATAGAATATTTGCTACTAATGCCTTTGACAGAAGTATGTAAATTGTGAAAATGAAAAGGCCAGGAACGGGACCCAGGAAATCTCTGGTGTTGGCTGTACCGACTTGAGGAGTATGAGTTTTATTGATTATGTTGTTTTCAAGTTTCAACAGATTTTTTAATCGAAAAATTCTGATTAAAAATATTAAACGACTTACATGTAATGCAAAGATAAAATTTTCCACATTGAATCCTGCACAATACTTGCGACAATTTTCATCGTTGCCATGATTAACATCCTGAGACGAATTGAAGCGGTCGAATTTTTCAAAACAACCAACGTAGGAGAACGGTTTTAAATTATAGCCTAAAAACATGATTATAAATAAATCAACTGAAATGTGAGGAGTTAGAAACGATTAATAAGAAACGATGGAAACTATACAAAGTCGTTTAAACACACCAGCTCCGTAGACTTCGACTTCACTGAAAGTAAAAACACTGTCTTGTTCTTCAACACCTTTCATAATGATAACAAATCTAAATTTTTTTTCCGACTTGGCGCAATTGATGTTGATTGCATCATTTTCGTGGCAACTTCCTCCAGCCACTGGATATTTTCCACATTCAACTGATTCCAATTTTGACGAGTTGAGATACACAACGATTTTGCCTAGGTATGAATTAGTTATTCTACAAAGATCTCCACAAACATTGAAAAGCATTCCAACATTAAATAAGTAAAAATAACAATTTGAATTTTTGAAACCGATATTGACCAAGTTTTTACAACAAGCAGTGTTTGATTTTATAACGTCGTTCATTAAAATAAAAGACAATAATTGAATCTAGACAAAAAAATTTCGTAAACTTTTGCAATGATGGTCGCATATCCTAGGGTAAATAATGACAGTTTCAATCTGATATTCCTCAACCAGATCTACAGCCATCCATCCAACAATAGAATCAACTGGACCCTTCAAGAAGAGCAAATGTACAATTTCCCAATCCAACATATATCCATCTACTGCATACTTCCAGTCGAACTGTTTTAAATCTGATGCGTTTATAAAAGGGTATGCCGCAATGAATGGTTCTGCTGATATCGTCCGACGGAAAGCTAGGTTCATTGTTTTTGGCAGAGCTGTAAAAATTAACGAGTTGTTGATAATTTAAAAATTGTATGTCTCTGCTGTTCCAAGCAAAAATTGCACACAAATGTAATATTTTTAACGAACAAAGCTATTAATAACTACAATTTCTTACGAGAACACTTTGAAAAAGGTTGTTTGTAATTATTTTCGGGGCAAACACATTCAGAATATTCCTTTCCTAAAACGTTTGTTTTATGACAGGTCAATGGCCTGCAAACATCGGAGTTGGTTGAACAGTCTGAACGAAGTTAATTTTAAAAAATAAATTGTAAGAAATGAAATAATTATTATGATAAAAAAATAAAATGATTAGCAAAGACACAAACTCCAAAAAAATTTAAAAAACTGGAGCAAGTGAAGGAACTACCTCTCTCGTCACATTCGCTGGTCCAACCCGTTTCACATTCCGTGCACTTCGTTTCAACGCTTGATTTGCATTTTGATTGATGTGAGAATGCCGTTTGAAATTCAAAGTGCCTCAGGGCTATTTATTATTGTTTCAATCTTCCATTGAACTTTTACGCGCAAAAAATTGCAACATTCGTCAATAATTTTAGAACCAATTTTGACTCAATTTAAGTTGAAACTAACTTTAAGAATGATTTGTTAAGATGTTGTTTTTGAATATTTGTATTAATATAAAATCAACAAAAGCAATAGTAATGATACCAATAGTACAATATTTATTCATATATGAAAAAAAACTTGTTCTTCTGGGTTGACAATTTGTCCCTGAGCACATCTGACGATCGTTTCCAGGACATTCAACATTACAATTGGACAACATCTCAAGATCTGACAAACACTTAATTGCAGCAGTGTCAGATGGTTTGGAGCAATAACACAGCGGTTCTTTGGCTGGTTCGTTCTGTCAGGTGCAGTTAAGTTGAGTTCAACTTAAAATTCAGAGCCTTAAAATTGATTAGAAAAATTAGAACTGAAAATTACATGGAGAAACGTCGTCAGTTTACTTATCAATATTATGTTTCAAACAACGTATATTTAATTTTAAGTATTTCAAAAAATATAGTAACAATAACTAAGCAAAAAACCTTTAATGTAGCATGTGAAAAATTCCTTTCAAAACATATTGACATGCACGTGTCAATTGTTATCGCTGGTACAGAAACGAGTGAGTGACTGCTAGGGTTAACGTCGAACTCGTTTAAGCTAATCAGAGATTCGCTGAAATCCAATCTTTCTCTAACTGATGAAACATATTTATTTCATCTATGACTATCCTTACTTAAAAAATGACCAACTGCATCAGTTATACTTTCAGTTGAATCATTTTATATATATTTACTAAAATCAATAAAATTTCAGCGGCATCTAATAAAGGAATGATAAGCATAAAAAATAATTAATAATAACTTTGATAGACAGAAAAGAACTCGGATCCACCACACGCATCGTAACAATTGGAACAACTCATATCACAATGAGATGAACTGACTGGATATTTTGCACTACTAAGGCAGTGACATGCCTCACCCCTCTGTTGTTCAACATTTCCATATTGTCATTCAATTTTTTAGTACCATTATTTACAAACATCAAGAAACTACCTGCAGGCCGATCATAAAAATGTTCTCCACGGCCAAACAGAATTCCTTGCACTGCATATAAGATTGGACAGGCGTGCTCTTCTCAACGACAACACTCCAGTAACATCCAAGGTACATTACGTGTGTTCCTGGTTGGGGCATAGTAATTTTCGTAACATTACATTTACAGAATTCATTGCATGCGTGAAACAAAACAATTCATTGCTGACCTCTTCAAACACACACTACTATATAATAAAAAAAAGTTCACACACATCTAACAAAAACTCTTTCCTTAAAAAACCCCGTAATACGTACTTATTAACCTTCCATTTTTCATCAATTTAAAACCATGAGGAACGTCGTACTTAGATCCCGTCTTACTCCTTCCATCCGTTGTTTTCGGATTACTTCCATGTCTCCTTTGGTGGCAGTCTATTTCTGAGGAAAGAAGGAACTTTCTCAAAAACTGCATATTCAGCGCAGTCACAACTGGAATTTTTAAAACTAAAAATTCTAACAGCAACGTATCACCTACTTTTTATATCGCATCGAGCTCCTTGCCACCCCGGGTTGCATTGCCCTGGTCTGCACTCAGCAGGTGGTGTTGGTAGGTTCATACAAAAACTATTCCGAGGTTTCTCAAGGAAATCATAAGTGTCGAAAACTTGGGCATGCATGGGCAATACAAAATTTAAAATATCTAAATTATTTGCCAGGAGATAGCTGATGTTCATAGTAATAATGATAAAGACGAAGACTTGAACATTGCTAATAATAAATTAGAACAAGAACTTACGGTTGTACAACGAATAGCGGTTGGCAGCTCCACACGACTTGCTTATTTCGTCCCCGCAAACTGTATTACATTCACTCATTGCCACCTGCTCACTTCCTATGATTAAATCCCCACATATGCACTTGTCCACCTGCTCATGCATACAGAACAAATTTGGAACACAAGCCACCGTTTAGACGATGCCAACTCATTAATATAACTTAAACCAACCTTGATGGCAAATTCTTTAGAATATTGATTCTTACAATACAAAAAGCAGGACTTATAAGCAAAATCTCTTTGCACTGTTACACCAGAATCAGTTTTTTCTTCCAGTTTTGCATCTTTAAAGCAGCCAATTATTGTGGTGGCAATAATTTTTTTGTCTGTTTGTGTTTCAGTTCGAACAAAAAACGTTTAGTTTATTGAAAAGCTCAAAAAATGTGAAACAACGCAAGCAAGAATAAAAAATATTTATCACATTTCTATTCGAATATTCATAAAAATAAATTCAGATCATTGTTAAGTCATAGCATCCCATAAATACATAAAAAATTTAGATTCAAGTTATCTCACAGAATTGAAACGCATTATAGAGTATGGCAAAGATTTAGCCTTAAGTGAAAATTGTGCCTCAACATGTCTCATTTTTTGATTTTATATTTGCTAGATGGAAACAAAGGAAGATAATTTCCTAATTTGCTTTTTAACTTTCATTTTAATTTCTATAATTTAGCTGTTCTAAAAATGTTTACCTTTAACATTTTAAGTTATTATTTTATTATATTATTTTTTAAATCTATTTAATTTTTTCTAGAAATCAATTTTTACGGTTTGCTAGCTTCTTTTATTTTCGGTACTGATAAATTTTATTATTTGCATTTAAAATTAACAAAACTCTTTTTTTTTATTGATACCTGGTCTGTTGAAAGCACTGGTCAGTCGTGTCGATTGATTAACAAAAACTTATTTTGGCGAAGATTTAGCTGCTGATATTTTAACCTATATACAAAAGATGAACGTATTATGACCAAACTAAGATCTCAAAATTCACGAGCATGAAAAATATTTCACAACGAACCGGAATAAACAGCAAAATTGCCTTCACAGTCTTCAGCTTCGTTTGTTGAAAGGAGCACATCAGCATTCCCTCCGCAATAACACTCTCCATCCTTGAAAATTAAATATTAAACACAATTTTTAACGGATTAAACGTGTCAGCATTTTGTAAAATTTTATAGGATACACATGAAAGTTTGAAAGTCTGGAGGGGAAGAAATTAGTAAAAGTCCGTTTTAAGTTCACTCTAATAATTTTTTATTAAAAAAATTTCGTTGTATAAAATAATTTTTTGTCTTTGAAATCCGGTCAAACAACATTAGTACATTTGTACACTAAATTTTTTCAATACAGAAAACTCACAGTAACGCATGCCTTGTAATTTTACTACCAATGATGTTGTTAGTTTTGATGTGAAACACACCAGTTGGAAGAAATAAAATTAATTGAACAGAAAAAAAACTTAGTAAAGTTTTAAAACAAACATTATCAACTCTTTTTAACGATTTTTAAAAAATTAAAAATTTAGAACAAGCAGAAATGATTTATCTACGTCATCAACAAACAACATTGAAGGATTTAACAAAAATTAAGTAGCGGTAAGCTACCTTCATAGCAAATACCACTTTATCAGGATCAAGTCTCTCACACTCGTCTTGACATCCTTCCTTCGCATGCAAACTCACAGCCGTCGGATTGAAGGTCTCAAAACAGCCAATGTAATCAACCGGCGGACGTTTGATTTCTGTCAAAATTCATGATACTTTTGACAAATTGTCAATACATTAGGAAGCTTGGTATAACGAAACTGCTTGTATGTAAATTTTGTTGTAACGATCGTCAATTGATTCAATCTTATGCAAGTTCACTGATTTCTGAAAAGTAAGTACAACTGCTTCGAACGCAGACTCTTTTAAACTTTTATTTCGAAGCCAACAGTAATAATATTATAATTCCAATGAAGTATTTTCGAATCACCAAAATGCTTAAATAAATATATGATGGTGTTATTTTGAATATACCAATATTTAATTAATTAATTTTTTCTTTATTAGGCAGGAAGACACATAAGTTCAATGAGCTTGAATGGTCACACAAATCACAATAAAATTCAAAAATCATATAAAAATAAACAAAAAAAAATATAATTATTAAAATGAAAACAAAATTTTTAATGAATGAATGACTACAAAGCATGGTGAAAGCAGAAACATTACTTAAAAAAAGGAACGACGAACAAGAAACATAAAAGTGCTTCGAAAGCATTTGGAATGAAATGCTACAGAGAGATATAGAGAATCTGCTGGAGACAAAAAAACGAGAAACTTAGGCAAGATTGGAAAACAAAAATTTGCTAATTGAGACTGTGTTGACGTAAATCAAAATATGAAAAAGAATTTTCCTGAAAAAATGAAGCATAAAAAATAATTAATTTGTTTTACTTTCATAAACTTCGACTTCATTCAACGCCAAAGGCTCTGCCGTACTAGGTTGAATGATAACAAAGCGGCCAAGCAGCGGCTTAGGTGTGCATGTAATTCTCAAAGGTTTCGTTGCGTGATAACTTCTAAGGTCTGGCAGAAAACCGCAAAAATCATAATTGCCTAACTTCTCCACTGTTGCTTCTTCCAATGTCTTGTTCACACCAACTTTCAGTCTTCTAATATGAATATCTACGCATGTTCAGAAGTTTTACAAAATTGAATTTGAAATTATTTATTTTTATATAAAAAAAAATTTTAAAAATTTTTTAAACTAAATTATAATAAAAATAATAATAATAATAAACTGATTACAAAAATTGCAATAATGTA